CAAAATGCAAGTGACTTGCGCAAGGACAATTATATCTTATTTATTATTTGAACCAAGAAGCAGGATAATGTATGACCTTGATGCCAAAAAAAAGAGCATCTTCCTTTTTTGTAGAGTTGAGGAACTCCATGTTTGAGAAAGAATGGAATATTCTTCTAAGAAAAGTGAACATCAGGAGACATCTGACATTAGATGTAATTAGTGAAAAAGCATATGCTGTTATGAAGCATCTAGATGATGAGGAACAGATATGTGTGATACGGCAGATGTCAGCATTTGCACATAAAGATATGGTTTAGTCTGGAAAATTCCGCCTAGAGAATACCATACTATAAAAATTATGTAGGATTTCTTAAAATATGTTGTCTGTTACCAATGACCACATTCAAATGGTATGACAAGTACATTGTCTAATATGTAGCAGAAATGATTTAAACAGCAGTTCATTTTTGAGTGACATTTTTCAGTGTCAGTAAAATGCTTGTATGTCTTTTTGAAGTAATGTTATATTTTTTTTCTATATGTAGCCGAAAGAGGTTTGGTAGCTGCACAGTATGATGTCATGAAAAAAAAAATGATATGGCAACTGAAATGCGCAGATAAGTGGACAGTTTCACTGCTTTTAATGGTACTGCAGTTTTAAATGGATAAAGGCCAGTGGGTGTCCGTTGCTCAGTTGTTGGGGTCATTGACCTCACAACTGTAGGTTTGAACCGGGTCCACGTCTTTGAATTCTTCATGTGACAAATTATCAGCCTAGCTTAAGGAACATCAGAGGTTCTACTCAGGTGACCTATTGTGCCTGAAATAATTTACAGATGGGGCACCTGAGATCTTCCTCAGTCAAGCTTTAAAATTGCCATATGATCTAAAATATGTTAGTGCTATGTTAAACCCAACTAACAAAAAGGATAAGGGTCATCAATAATACTTCCATGTCCCTGTCAGCAATTATTACACATGACATCATTTTCTGGATGAAAACGCTTAGTCTTTATTTGAACTGCATACAGCTGTATGATGTACAGCTTGGCTTAAGAATACGAGTATATGGGTCCTAATCCATGTCTCTTATAGATAAAAATAGATGATCGCCTTGTCATTTTACGTGATCCCCTTATATCTGTTCAATGTTAAAAAGAGTATATGTGCATCTATATATTTGATCCCGTTGTCATCTAACGTGATCCCCTTATTTCAGACCGATGAATACTATTATAGTATATGTAAATCAAGACGACCCCCTTGCCATCTTAAATGATCTCCTTATACGATGGAAACTATAGTATATGTAAACCTAGATGTTCACCTGGTCATCTTACCTTACGTGATCGCCTTAATTTCTGTTCAATGAAAATTATTTTTAAGCACATCTAATTTATCCCCTGGTCATCTTACGTGATCCCTGATTTCTTTTCAATGAACTCTATAGTATATGTACATCTAAATGATCCTTTTGTAATCTTACGTGATCCCCTCATATCTGTTCTATAATCAAAAAGTGTATATGTACAACTAGATGATCCCCTGCTCATCTTACATTAACCTTTTATACATTTTCTATCAAAACTAGAGCATATGTTCATGAAGATGATCTCTTGGTTCTCTTATAATATGATTCCTTATATATCTTTCATATCAACATAAGTATACATTCTATTTAAATTCAGATGATCCTTTAGTCATCTTACTTGATATCCTCACAAAGGTTCATATGCTGATTACATTATTTGGCATATGAATGAAAACCCCATTATTGTACGATTGTATGTCCTAAAGACTTTAAAGCATATTTCCATTTGTATATATTTATTAGGAGTATTAAGCATATAAACTATTATACAGTGACACTGATCATTTCCACATATTTATAGTCTATTTTAATCAGGATGATAACGCTTTATCAGAAATTCGTACCTAATTTATAGGCGGGCTAAATATGAAGCGTGTACTTTCACTTTGAATTCAGCCATATTGCGCTATATCGATTGTCCAATCCTTAGGTGTCATGTAAAAACAGATATTCAATACGATATTTAAGAAATAATATATCACAAACAGTGATTGATTTTATCGCTCAATAACATCACTGTTTGGAGTTCGGATGCGCGGAATTATATCACGAGGGCGTAGCCCGATCTGATATAATGATGCGCATCCGAACGACAAACAGTGATGTTATCAAGCGATAAAATCACTGATTTTGGATATATTATTTCGATTCTAACACGACATCAACAAATCAATGTTGCCGTACTTGATAAGTAAGCAAAACTGCGCCTGATTTGTTTCCGTACTTATTTTTAGCGCGTCGGATTTTTAGTGGTTACGCCACGTATATAATGATTACGTCACATGTCTAAATATAGAACGTCAAACTGTGCATCTGTTGCATAATAACACACACTTTCTGTTCTTCTATGTTTAATAGGGAACAATGCGGGTCGTGTTAGAATAGAGGATATATCCCGGTACAACCAAACTTCGTCCACTTTACCACACTTCCGGTTTTAGGTTTTTTATTAAAAAATCTGTAATAACTGAAATAGTATAGAATTCCTACCTGCAATGATAATGTTTACATTTCAAATAAAATGGAAGCTCCCTCACATGTGTTACTCTGACTTTATCCAACCGAACTTCGACCACTTCGACCTTGACCTTTAACTGGGTGTAATAGTGTACTTCAGGAAAAAAGTTTGTGTCCATATTAACTGTCATTTTAAAAACTTTATAAAACTTTTTAAACAAACTGTTTTGAATTATAATTAACTGTCAACAAAACGTATTTACATGGTTATAGTTAGTCTACAGTTACATTTCACTACCGGAGGGACACAAAAAGTTGTCTCCCCGCCTGATAGTCTTGACAGGTGTACAAAATGACAGGTGAACCCAACCTGAACATTTCTCACACTGTCCCCAATTCACAATTATCACATATGGCCGCTTACTTATGTCTGGGCTGAAATTTTTGCATACAATGCACTTCTCATTTTCTTCAACATTTTCTTCATTTAAGCTGTCACAACTATTTTCAATAGGAGGATTAACTTTTCTTTTTTTGTTAACTGAAACTCCAGATGTTCCAGGTTTGGGGGATTTCTGATTTGAAGTTTTAGCTTTGTTTTTGGCAATTTGTTTGCTTTTTTGCTTTGGGTCATATTTCTCATTATGGGCAATGATTTGTTCAACAATGTTATCTTCAGTAATTGTATTCCACCAACAATTTTACTTAGTGTATTTCTCTTTGTTTTGGCCTTCTGCACATTTTCAAGAATTTGTCCTTCTCGCTTCTCCAGGAAATGCTCAGCATCAGACATACCGCTAGACCCAACATTGTCACTTTTCAATCTTTCATCTTGGCCAGATTGATCCCTATCAAATGTTGTTAACGGTGCCACCTGTAAATCTGATACAGCATTTCTATTGAATGGGAAAACACCACATCGCTTAAATGCCGATTGTATATTGCTTGGTGTCAAAGTAGATGCATAGATTTTACAAGCAAGACGGGCAACTTCATACCTGGTAACAATACTTCCACCAGATTCTCTCATGTGACGATGACAGGCTGCATTCCATGCTATTTCAAAAGGCCCAAAGCAGCTGACATCAAGAGGTTGAAGGAGGTGGCTGCAATGGGGAGGTAACACAAACAAAATGATATTTTCTGCCTTAGCCCACTGAATTAAATCTAAAGCAACATGGCTCTTATGTCCATCATATAATACCAGAACTGGTGCTTCAGGAGATCTTGGTGGTAAGTATTTCAAGAGATGGTCTTTCATGTTTGTAGAGAATATTTCCGTATTTGACCAGCCAGACTGTGTAACAGTTGCACTAGACCCAGGTGTTGCCCCCTCCATTAGAGAATCTATCATTCTTGCACCAGGAAAGACAAAATAAGGGGGTACCTGTTGCCCTACAGCATTTACACATCCTATTACTGTAACTGTTTTAGACCTGCCCGATGTTACTGCCTGAACTTTGTGGTGTTTTCCAGACACAATCTTTGGTGGCTTATGCTCTGAGTTCAGTCCCTTCTCATCTACATTATACGTTAAATGAGGTTTAGCCAATAGATGGTACTTCACCATTATGTTGTTAAGTGCATCAAAATTACAGTCAATAGCCTCCCTTGTTGTCCTTCTGGCTCTAGCCATGTCTAGACTCCTTGGCTTCTTAATGTTCAGTTCAGGCCACCTACGAATAAACTGATATAACCACCTATCAGTTAAAGGATGATTTCTGTCCCTTAAGCCTAAGCTGACAGCAAAGTCTGATGCCAAGTTAATAGTTTCTTGTCTGCTGTAACCATAGCCTACCTCAGCCATAGTTTTTATATGCCTTGCTAACAATGCCTCTTGTTCTTGAGCAAATAATGTTGGAGCTCCTGTGGTTACACAGTCAACATGAACCTTACCACTTAGTCTGTCAATTAATGTAGTTTTGGGCACACCATAAAGAGCACTTGCTTTTCTAATACTCACTGCATTTTCCTTGACAGCAATATAGGCCTCAGTCAATCTTTCAGCATCATAGGACCTGTATGGACCCCTGACATCCACTTTGGGCTATATAATGAAAAATAAATAGGGTATGTATACATGAGTATATGTATCAATTAAATTCCAATTAGCAAATTACAAAATATTGGTGTAAGGACAGTGATGCATTTTGTCACGCTATTAATTATTGGCAGTATACTACACAAATGGTATGGTGGTGGTTTTTGGGCCCTGGTACAAGCATAATTTAGCAGACGCAAGTAGTAAAAGTTGTATGTAGAAATTTTATATAAAAAATTGATTTTTTTCCATCGTTAATTTTGGAAATAGGTGAAAATCGATAAAATCTTCATATTTTAAACAAATGGGATAAAACAAACCTTTCTAATCTCCATATCGGCTGATTTTACATTGTTGACATTTCTGCTGTTACCGTAAACAAATATTAGCGCGGACTACCGGAAGCGATACATAACTTCCTTGTTTTATTTATTTTCCGGGGCCGGTCGAAGTTATGTTGTGGACGTAGTTCGGTTGTGGGAGGATATCAATGAATAACATTGTCAACACTAAGGTAACTGATTCACTTTCCTTTTGGTTAAGTAACAGTAAATTATTATTATTTATAGATGCGTACGCATTTCATCACAATGTATTTATTGCTGAAACAATTTCAAGGTCAATATCTATCATTATCTAAAAAAATCTACTCAACATGGTTCTTTGGCGTATTTAAGTATCGAAAATTGATTGGAGAGTATTTAATAAAGTTAATCCATTTAACGTTTTCCCATGGTTTATCAGCTGAAGAATAATATTGTATTTTTTACAACTGGGGCGTGACTTGGTCTGAATTGATATGATATGTAATATGATTTCGGGGAGGAAGGAGGGGGATGTTCATGTCTTTTACCACCAAGATAATTTTGCCTTTTCTCGTCAGAGATAAATTTTGGCGATAAGTACAATATATCTTTTCCAATGATTGATAGAAGTTACATGAAGACAACATTTTTTTCACATTTAATAATTTAAAAAGAAGTATAGACCGCGGCCGATAGAAAGTTTCGTCCCTTATTGTTGATTTACAGTGGCATATCTACCAATACGCCAATACGCACGGGCGTATAGTAAGAAAAAGTTTCAAAAATAAAATTTCAAAAATGAAATCATTAATTTGGGCGTAGATCGGTCAACATATTCGTAGCTGCTAATTGATTCTACAGGTATGCTTCTAAAGGATGTTACCTTATTCGAATATGCGTTACCTTTTTATGCACAGTCAAATCTTCAATTAAGAAAGAGAGTAAAAATATGATATAAACAAGTTCTTTGGAATTTTCTCTTTTTTCAGCTTGAGTTAAGCGTTATAATGCTAATAAACCTTGTCAAAATCCAAATAAGGATAAGAAATTGTCCAATATATGTCAATCATTTTTTTTGCAGAAGAATCAAATCAGTGAACATTTATTTCATTTTTTACATCTAGATCTATATGCAAAATAAAGATCTTGTTTGCAACTTCGCGTTTTCAGCACAATGGAAGGGAGTGAGTTAGCTCTTTTTATATTTTACCTTGTAACGATAAATTAGTATATTATTTTTAAGTAAGTAATATATATATTATACAATTATTGACTATATATGTTTATACCAACATGCTTTAAGTGCGTGAGGCATTTAACTTCGTAATGAAATAACTTAAATATTTCGAATGGAAATTGAAAGGCTAGAGTTGAGAACAAAAATGTTAAAGACAATATTTATTGTCTACAACATTGACATAATACGCATTAAAAATATTTTAAGGAAGCTAAATGATCGTGCAATACTACATTTTAGCTGCAAATACGATAAAATCTCCTTACACTAAACATTTAAGATGTTGTGTTTGTATTAAAGTCATACAGATCATTTTAAAGCATATTTTCCTTGATTATATCTCATGTTAAGTTATGGTGAAACAAAAGAAAATAACAAAGATAAAACTAAACTTGTTACAAAAGGATATAAAACCCATCTTTTTTACAAGAGAGATACCTGGCTATGTTTTGTTTTCCTAAAAGCAAATAATTTTTTAACTATTTAAAACAGTGTACATGTTAAACTTCGTGCTTTTTCTCTTACATTCAATATAATTATGTACTTGATGTTATTTTTATAACTATAGATAAAGACAATGTTAAGTACAATTAGCTTAAATATCCCCTAAATCCTTAGCTATAGCACATAGCTATATTTGATATATAAGTCTCTGGCGATCCTTCGGCCAAAAAACCTGCACTCGGCGTACACTCATAATAAGCCGAGGTACGCCCCTGATTTATGATAGGGAACATTAACAGTTAATATAAATTTGTGTTCAGTTGGAATCTTTAAGTTCACGATGTAGATCTACATTCAGGGGGCGTCCGTCACTATGTTGTTTAAGTCATTTACTGCAAACCACATTCCTCTCACCGCTGTCGGTTCGAATCCCGCCAAAGACATTGGATTATTTCATGTGAGGAAGGTATCCAGCTAGTTTATGGAATGTCAGTGAATTTATTCAGCTACCCGATCGTGTCTGAAATAATGTACGGAGGGGCATCTATGGCCTTTCTCCACCAGTTTACCTGAAAAGTCGCTGAAACATTATATTTTAAACTTTCATGGAAGTGTTTATTTTTCAAGATCATTTCAGAGAATTACGCCCTGAATAGAGCATTGATGTTGACCTTTTTCATCGTCGAAGTTTTTAAATATAATCACGCATATATTATATTATGTTTGTTTATATTCGTTGTACATTAGACGTTTGCCAAACTACTCTGGTTAGCACTGAGACCATTTTAAGATTCAACGCCTAATTCGTGAATGATGCACCGAACCAACGCTTTATGTATAAATCTCATTAAAAATTATTGAAGTTTTTAAATATAATCACGCATATATTATATTATATTATTTTTTATATTATATTATATGCCAGATGTTATATCTGGTTATTTTGCTTGAACATTGTAGAAGTAGTGTAAATATTTTCAGTTGCAAAAGAAAGGGTGCTGTTGTTTACCAAATTCTGTATACATGAGTAAAACTTGTTATCAAAATATGCAGAACTGTATTGTCCATACAATGCTTTAATTTGTATTGGAATATGATGCATATCAGGATTTTAGTTTCGTGTAAATCGCGGAAAGGTGAAAAGTTAGATTGCAAAAAGTCTTTTTAATTAATGACAGCGGCTAAATATTGTAGTTTTTAACAAAAATGTGAGCACTTGGTTAGAGGGATCATTACTTAATTAAGCATAATATTGGCTAATGTGGTATCAAAATACTGTCTGTTGTTGTTGGTCAGGAAACCTTTTTCGTAGTTGAAAATATCATGTCCAAAACTGACTTAATAAAATAACTATGATTTATTTTTTTTGCAGGATGTCTAAATGTCTTGGTGACGATCCTACTCTTTCATTGAAACTATCGGAAGTCATGAGTGACATAGGAATAAGAGAAGAAATAGTTCTTAAGAGAAAAAGATCATATATGTTGATGGAAACTCTAAATACAATAACCTGTCTTATCCAAGGCAAGAAAATCACCACTTACAACTTAGGAAGTCAATCAGAGGGATCAACAACAATAGGCCTTGACTCCGATATTGATACTCTTTTCGGATATCATGATTTTAATTTTATTCTAGACTGGAAAGAAGCAAAGCCCGGAGCAGGAAATGTTCTACTGGTTCAGGATGAAACCACCGCTCCTGGTCATTGTTATTTACAATGTGAAAAACCGAATGTAAATTTCGCATACTTTATAATTAAAAAATACTTTCATTTATATGGGGAAAATAAATGGCTTTTGAAAAACACATGTTTTGATGAAGATCTTAATCTTAAATACAATCAAAAGAATGGTCCAGCCCATTCTTTTCAAGGAAAGGTTGCTTACAATGACGTAGATAACGTCATAGCATGGCATTGCAAATATTGGCCGAGAGAAGCTCGACAATGGCTGGTAAATAAAGGCAAAGGTGATTGGCCAACAGAAGATATAAGAAGAGAGTGTGAGGCAACTGGATGTATCATTGTACCAGTGAGCAGCAACAACAGTCAGTACCAGGACCTAGAATGGAGAATATCAACTTGTTTAGCTGAGAGATGTCTGATGTTCAGTTTAAATATCACACAAATGAGATGTTACGTTCTGATGAAAATGATATTCAGAAAATTCACAGAACAAACTTCGATGGTTAAACTTTCAAGTTACGTGTTAAAAACGGTTCTATTCCATTGTGTTAAAAATTCTAAATCCTGTGAGTGGACAGAAAACAAATTGTTTGATTGTTTGAAAAGATGCCTTTCATATTTAGAAACTTGCATCAGAAAACAAAATTGTTCACATTTTTTTATTCCTGGAAATAATCTCTTCAGAGGGAAAAGTCCTACTTTTTATAAAAGTGCTCTTGTAAGGATACAATATTTAACAAACAGTAATGGACAATTTCTTCTCAAAATCTCGCTTGATCAGCTAAATAGGAGGCTTAATGAAAAGATGACTGAAACGATTTCTCCTGGTATTCAACAAGCAGAAGCTATATCCGAATTTATATCAGGATTGCTCATAAATCATATTGCAGTTCAGCTAAATATTTGCCACTTACTTCATTTACTATTAGTCCATAATTTTGGTTGTTTACCGATAGAATTTGCACAATATGTGTTGACAGAATTGAATAAAATAGCAATCAAGAGTTCGGAAAATTCTTTGCATAGGTCAGTGTACAAACTTATCGCGCCATTTATGTATTCATCGTTAGCATCTGCTATTGCATCAAGAGATATTGATCGCATGAAATATATATCTCCATATACATCAATCTTGTTTATGATCGGTTCATCTTCAGACGTGTCGTCGGGCAAATTGAAGTTTGCTTCTGCTTTATATTGCTCGGGAGATATGTATAATGCACGGTGTTTACTCGAACACATTGAACAGAAATACGATAAGTATTCTATAAAAACTGTGTGTTCCTGTACGGAGAAGGATGAAAGAGGGTATGAAATGATAGGTTTCCGAGAAAAATGCATGACAGGGAATGAAGAACTGATCAAAGATATAACATCATTCTGTGTAAAGTTCTTACCTAGCGAAAAGAATTGTATTCCACGTGAATTAAGGTATGAACTTTTCAGATCTACAGCTAATCATAAACTGTACAGAAAAAAACACAAACAGTTTTGGATGGATTGGGCTATAGTTGACTCCCTTCCTTATTTGTACTTTTTACAGTACAAAACGTATGGGCGACTGAAGATGGCTGAAAAACAAACACAAGCTTTTATAGATTTTGGGATTGCTATTGATACAGAGTTAGCATTAGGACACAAGGAAACTGCATTGAATTTAATTGGCCAGTGCTTTGTACAAGAAAATAAACCCGACATTGCCTTGGACATGTACATTGAATCTTTGAAGATAAGCAAAATAAACAATGCTGCAAATGTGCATATTTGTAGACTTATTTCTGCATTAGTTAATAAAAGTTTTCATACTTAACAATCGCGGAACAGATTAAAGGAACAAATGAATCTTTTCAAATCTAGAATTAAAAAAGGTTCAAATAAGTTCCACTGTTGCAGTAACTCAACATATTTCAGCTGATTAAATCTTGATTTTAAAAAGTGAACTGGAATTTCTAGTGTACATGTAGCAGTTAATACAGATAAAATTTTGCTCCATGTTTTTTATGACTTCGAAATATATTAGAATAAGATATTTTTCTACATTCAAAGCAAAGCACACACGGCCTCATATCTGCATTCAGTAGATTATAATGCATTGTATAGATTTTTAAGCAGAATACATCCAAAAACAATCTGAATGAAAACAAAGAATTATCCTAGAAAACATATGGCACATACGCGGCCTCATTGCTTAATGGTGCAAGATTCTGCATAGTGTGCTACTTAAAATAACAAAATATCATTTTGTGTCGTATCATTTTATTCTTTTTACGTACAATTTCATTTGCCTATTGTAGAAAATGTTAGAATATCCTAATAAAGAGATAAACGCTTTTCTTGTAGCAACATTTATACAAAGATTCCAATATTCATTTGGGATAAATTATAAACATTTAAGGCACATATTTGCATTAGAAACGATACTTTTCTTCCTTCTTTAGGGCACACTTGAGTTTAACAACGTTTTTACGGTTTACGAGTATGTTAAATGTTTGTAACCTGAAGAAATTAGCTTGTAGTATTAAAATAAGTTGTCATGAAAGAAGCCAAATGTAAACAAAGTATTATCTTTACTTCCATACAGAAAACTAAATAACTATATATGTACTACCTGCCTAAATGCAACAGAAGATAAAAATGGTTTAGATAAATGGCTGAATAGTATTTTTTGTGAAACCTTAACAGGACAGCAAAAAGCAAACTTTTTAGATATGAAAATAAAACAATTTTGGGCATAATGGACCTTCTATGACAGTTTATGTTAATATAATAAAACTTTTGACAGGTTATATAGCCTAGTTATATGGCATGGATAAACGATTGCATGTATAGTTACATAATTCGAGCTACTAGGCAAGTGATGTTTTATTTCAAATAATTGTTAATGGACGGCTATAATTATAGCTATATTGATATTTCCATAGTTTAACGTCTTCAGTACATTGTAATTGATGTTAATTGTTTAAAATGTTTGAAAGCCGTTTGCCTCCAAATGAGCCAATAAAAATCAAGAAAATCAAACTTGAGAAAAAAATGTACAAAGAATTTATTTTAGTAAAAATTTACATGTTATGTGAGATTAATGACTGATTTTGCAGTATCTATCACCATATTTCTACTGCTTGAAAACACAGTACGGACTATTTTTGTATATGTTTGCCTACTTTGCGTACATTGAAAGTGGCGTTTGCAGTGTGAAAATCTCTTCTTTTTGTTCACTTCACAATATATTACTTTTAAATACACTTTCCAAATGTTCATGAAAATGAAGGCATATGCTATAATAAAGTCATATGTCATATCTGCTGAAGAGAACTGAGATGTTATCCACAAATTTAAATTGTAATTAACATAAAAGTAAAGTTGGTTTATACTAATGCAAATGCGTATTCGGAACACCTTGGCTGTCATTCATAATGACCGCGGACATACAGATTAAAAGTAGTTTTATTTGTACACAAAAAAACGAGAGTGCAGTCTTTGACAATGTATAATGAAGTTTAACGGAAATTATTTTTGACAATCATAATGACTTTAAAATGCCCACTGATAAACAAATCTGAATAAACGTCAACAGGCTTCTACCATCATAATAATAGGTATATAAATAATGTATTTTGTACGGAAGTCAAAATACTACTTTGTTTACTTTTATGTCTGTAATTTCACCTAATTTAGATGGACTGTACGCGATATATTGGCAAAAGAACTTACGTAACAACTCCCAGCATTAAGAAAAATTATGCTCCTCGAAAGGAGAGCATAAACTTGTCCGTCTGTCCATTTGAAACTTTTAGGTGTAGATAGAACCATAACTCTGCCTTGCCTAATTTTGGAGTTATTGTCCTTTGTTCGTTTTTACACTTTGAACTTTGTCCGGGACATAACCCTAAAATTATAAGAGATATCAACATGAAAGTTTGTAAGTAGATAGATCTTATTTGGTAAAAGTGCAATGCAAAAAGAACCATAACATTGTTTTGTCCCGTTTTTAAATTATTTCGCCTTTTAGAGAAATCTTGTCCGGGACAAAACCATATGAGATATCAATATGAATTTTTGTAGGTAAATATATCTCAATGGGTAGATGTGCAGTACACAAGAGCCGTAATTCTGTCTTGCCTAATTTTGGAATTATTGCCTTTTGAACTTTGTCCAGGGGCATAACTCTAAAACTACAAGAGGTGTCATTTTCTGTGTCCAAAACTTATAGGGGAGCATCACCCGGATCAAACCGGGCTCTTGTTTACTATTTGTTTACATGTTTAGTTTCTTAGCGTAGGATAGACCGAAATACTGTATCTATCTGTTCTGTGTACTGAAAGGGCCGGGAAGATATGAAATTCAAAATACGATGGAGATGTAAACATGACCTATCGAGTTTTTGACGTGTATGTACTTCTTTTGAGTGATATCTAATTCACAATGCTTCGACACAAAATACAGTTGCCGCATTAACGTGGTCGATCTCGGTGATTTTGACAGCATAAACAAATAGACTTTGTATACTTAAAGAACAAATAACGCCCGTTTAAGAATGGACCATTCTTTGCGGGCCTCTATTATTTTCCGTGCTTTATAGTTTGAAGACTTATATGCCGTGAAGAAGATCCTTTAATATGAAAATACTTTTATAATCCTAATACAAACAACTTGATCATTTCTTTTTTAAGACCATAGCGTTTATTTTGCAATGGCTAATTGTGCATTACATCAATTCCTGTAAAGACGTGCTCAAATGTGCGTTTTTGACACAAACCACTGAATAACATTAGACCACTGTATCGTGATCGATAGACATTATGTAACAAAAACTGACCATGCCACGTGGAAATCTCAAGGCATATTGCTTGTAAGCGCTTTGGCGTTATATTGTGTTAAAATGACCCTTCAAAGCAGTACAACATTACTGTTTGTTAAATATTCAAAAATTAAAAGAACACTTTAATAAAAATAGGGCTTTTCCTTCTGAAAACACGTAACTTGAAAGTTTAACAGGCAAAAAAATTTGTTCTTTGACTGTTCTGAACATCATTTTCATCAAAACGTAACATCTCATTTGTGTGATATTTAAACTGAACATTAGACATCTCTCAGCCAAACAAGTTGATATTCTCCATTCTAGGTCCTTGTACTGACTGTTTTTGCTGCTCACTGGTACAATGATACATCCAGTTGCCTCACACTGTCTTCTTATATCTTCTGAGGGCCAATCACCATTGCCTTTATTCACCAGCCATTGTCGAGCTTCTCTCGACCAATATTTGCAATGCCATGCTATGACGTTATCTTTGTCATTGTTTGTAAGCAATCTTTCCTTGAAAAGAATGAGCTGGACCATTCTTTCGTTTGCATTTAAGATTAGGCTCTTCATCAAAACATGTGTTTTTCAAAAGCCATTTATTTTTCCCATATAAATGAAAGTATTTTTTAGCTATAAAGTATGCAAAATTTACTTTCGGTTTTTCATTTTGTAAATAACAATGACCAGGAGCGGTGGTTTCATCCTGAACCAATAGAACATTTTCTGCTCCGGACTTTGCTTTTTTCCAGTCTAGAATAATGTTCAAATCATGATATCCGAAAAGAGTATCAATATCGGAGTCAAGGTCTGCTGTTGTTGATCCCTCTGATTGACTTCCTAGGTTGTATGTGGTGATATTCTTGCATTGGATACGACGGGTAATCGTATCTAGAGTTTCCATCAACATAAATGATCTTCATCTCTTGAGACCTATTTTTCTATTATTCATATGTCATCCATGACTTTTGATAGTTTTATTTAAAGAGTAGGATCGCCATCCAGAAATTTAGACATCCTGCAAAAGCCGTATATTAACTTTTTTATCAATTCAGTTTTGGACAAGACATTTTCAACTATGAAAAAGGTTTCCTGACCATTCCTACGCCATTACAATACAAACAACAACAGATAGTATTCTGATACCAAATGTGCCAATATGTTGCTTAAATAAGCAACTACCTCTATTCAGGTGCACACTTTTTTGTTAAAATACAATTATTTTGAATCTAAAGCTACCGGCATTAATTTTAAAGACTTCTGTTGCATTTGGATAAATTTAATTATGGTGGTGGTTTTAAACAATCTGAATTCCTTTATGCTTTTAAGTTATTGGATAATATTTGATAATTGAGTTATATTTGGTAATTGAGTAATATTTTGTAACTGAGTTATATCCTTCATTGTGAGGTCACAGAATGCGACAAATTTCGTTAAATTATCGCAATTCTGCAATTTGACTTTTCCCCCTTCCGCGATTTACACGAAACTGAAATTCCGATAATTATTAAATTCCAAAACAAGATAAGCATTATATATGGACTTTACATTTTTGGATATTGTTATATCTTACTTTACTCACGTGTACAAAATTTCGTATCCAAGTGCACACTTTCCTATGCAACTGAAAATATTAATACTACGTCTACAACAAGCAAATTAACAAGATAATCGATGTGATTATTCTGACATTCCTATAATACCTTGTTTATCCAGTGACGCAAGAACGCGGAAATAACGCAAATGAATAACACGAGTATCTCTGTATAAAATAAATGGACCGAAATACTTTATCCTAAATTATATTGAAATATATAATTAAGCGAATACGGCTGGTATGTCGTGATAATTTAATCGACATTACAATTAATGTTTTCGATGAATGTGTTTACTTTTAAATCATTCGTGAGAATGACAACCCGACTAACAATTTGAGGCGACTTTTGTGTTTGGTCGAAATTAATTACGATACAAAAACTTAGATACGTTCCATATTTGGATTTAGTCGAGACTCATTCTTACGAATGATTTTGAAGAAATCATATTCATGGACAATAATTTTTACTTTTTAAAACACTTTATAATCAATTTTCGAAAATTTGATACGCCAAAAACATGTAGAGCAGTTATAAGAGTTTAGATAATTATCGTAAATATTGATCTTTAAATTGTTTAACTACACTACTGTTAACAGTGAATACACTGTGATGAACAGCGTACACATTTATGAAACAATAATTTTCTGTACCGTAAGCAAAAAGAAAAAGAACCAGTAACTTTCATTCGATGATATATTCTCTAATATCTTTTTATAGCTTTTCACACGTCAGCTACGGTTGTGATGTAGTGCAAGATGACTCTGAAATCTTAGTAGGTAGTAATATTTTGCTGATAAGACATACTGGTTAGCAAAAGATATTGCGGCTTGTAAAATAGAAATCATAGTATTTTGTACTTATAATTACAATGTTAATTTTCATTAAACAGTTTAATTAATGATATCACTAGATAGGTCTGTTAACTCATATTTTACACCTTAGAAAATAAGATGACAAAACCTTTTCCATTTTTCTTGGTAAAAGGTTACGCTTGGTGCTAGAAAAACATTTAAAAAATACAGTTCAAAAATACCCGAGTATGCAAAAATGAAATTCCGCTGATATTTTCAAATTACTAATTTAAAGAACTTTAAATTGATATAAAAATCTAAAATAAAATCGATTCGCAAATAAAAAATTAAAGAATTTAAAATTCTGCTTCTATATAATGTATGTAAGTATTCGATCTTTTTGCCAATCAGTAAATCTGTTATATTCTGGTAACAGGTGCTTGCGATGTCACCAGTCAACTTGTCTATATTAACAACACTTTGATAGGTTACTATAATCAACGAATTCCCTACTCTAACTTAAAATACAGTGCACGCACTGCAAACCTACCTTTTAAATGCAATAACTTAAAATGTGGATCCTTGTAACAAACAATTAAGTTACCAGATCCGTGCGATTATTGTTAAAGCTTTTATGTCAAATAATGCAAATAACATACCTAAAGTAGAGTGGTTATATGGACGATTTTTAACAAGTATTTCAAATATTGATAAACAATAGCAATGTATCATGTAGGCATTCATACAAAATATGGCTTGCAAAAATGTGTTGATAAAGGTCTAGATTTAGTATGAACATTTATATGATGAATATACTATTTTGTACTAGAACATTTTCTATTACATGCTATGTAAATATATGTAATATCATATATCTCGCAATTGTCAACAACGTCTATATATAATTACTTCGTGGTTTGTTATTATGTGTGATACCAAGTACTATCGATTTTATTATTTATTGTATTACAAACTTGCCATTATGATGATTATAGATCAACTCACTTAAGATGTAGCTATTTCTTGTTCAGCGTTATGTGTTTTATGTAAGGATGAATATGACAATAAATGAAGAAGTATTTCTTAAAGCTGTACTTTGATATGCTGTACACATTTAATTATATTCATCAAACATGAAGAACATAATCTGGACAAAAAATATCAAAGAATATTTATATATTTAAGGCATATAATGCCTAAAAACAAAACAAATATATTTTTACTTCTTTAGTTAGGGTAAACATGAATTTTATAATGTTATAATAATAGTGTTAAAGGGTGTAAAAGGCTTGTTTCATGAGGAAAGTAGCGATAAAAGTGCAGTTATTTGTCACAAAAGTATCAAATTGTAAACAAAGTAGTATTTCAACATGCATATAAAGTACTCATTAACTATAACTATACTTATTCCCAAAGAACAATATATGAAAAAAGTTCAGTTAATTTGCCAATGAGTAACGTTTTGGATACAATAAAATACTCCATATTTAAAAAGCTTTCGAAAAATAGAAATAAAATTTTTCAGCATAATGGGACTGTAATATGACTTTTCTTTATTTATATAAGTGTTTTGTTGCAGCCAGAAGGCTAAATGTTAAGTAAGTTGTTTATATGAATTCATATTAAAACCATAATAACAATATTAATCGCACGTAATATCAGCGCACGCATGGTAAATAAAGTTCGAGTACTGTATACTCATAGTGATTTCGTTGATAATAGTAACCAGTTAAATTGTTTGTTTACATGTAATTCAGCCATATTGCACTATATCCCATTCGTGTAAAAACAGCTATTCGAAAACGATATTAAAGGATATATCATTGAATAACATAGTCAACATACAGGTAACTGGTTAATTTTTTTCTTGCTTTCGTAAATTATTATTTCATAGAAGCGCAGCGGTGCATCACAATATATTTATTGTTAACATTAATGTTGTGAAAGAATTTAAAGGTCAATGTCTAACATTATCTTAACTCTAATAACTTGGCGCATTTACCTATTTAAAATTAATTTAAAAGTATTTTAAAAAGTTAAATTATTTAACGTTGTCACATAATTGTCAGCTGAGGAATAATACTATATGTTTTATACAACTGGGGCGTAGATTGTTTTGAATTCATTTGTAGTATCCCCGAAGGAGAGGGAGGGGTGTTAATGTCTTATATTAACTATACCAAGAATATTTTGCCCTTTCTCGTCAGAGATGAATTTTGGCGGTCTGTACAATACATGTTTTCAAATGATTAACAGTTACACATAGACAACAATTTTTCACATCAAATAATTTAAAAAGAAGAATAGACCGCGGCCTAAAGAAAACTACGCCACTTATTGGTGATTTATGATAAGGAACATTAACAGCTAATATTAAATTGTGTTCAGCGGAAATCTTTAAGTGCACGATGTAGAATATACATGTTGATTTATATAGGAATGTCAGAATAACAGGTTATTTTGCTTCGTTGTTAAATATTATATTTTCATTTGCAATTTGGTTACACAATTTGTATACATACAAGAGTAAAATAATTCAGATATGTATTGTCCATACTGTCGATTCAAATATGATCAAGAATGGGAAATCTTAAATCTAAAAGTACATAGGGGTGGCAGGAAAAAAAACATATACGAAAACACATTACCAGGAAACAGGAAATTGAATATCATCTGGCCTGATAGTGTAGTGGTTATGCTGCTTGATTTGCATGCGGAAGGACGTAGGTTCAAATCCGACAAGGGGGTAATACTTTTATTAGGCCTTTTGTATTTTATTATTATTTATTAAATTTTATTTTATTTATTTTCTATTTACTTTTTTATGCCACCGCAGCATCTGCGATGCGGTGGCATATGGCGATTCACCTGTGTGTGTGTTTGTGTGTGTTCTATAGATTATATAGTGAACTTAAAAAATCTTCTTGTGAAAACCACCAGTCAAATTTCAACCAAACTTGGCAGGATTGATTCTTGGGCGAAGGGCTTCCAAAGTTGTTTCAATATTCCTGTGAATTTCATTCCATGCAGAAATCTGGTTGCCATGGCAACCAAAAGGAATTATAAGAATAAAATAAAAAAATCTTCTTGCAAAGTCCCAAAAGGCCTAGAGCTTAGATATTTTGCATAAGGCATTGTCTGGTAGACCTCTACCAAGATTGTTCAAAATCGGCCCCGCCCCAAGGGTCATTGATTTTCACTATATGTACGTATAGTAAAAACTTAAAATACCTTCGTGTAAAGACCCAAAAGGCCTAGAAGTTTGATATTTTGCATAAGCCATTGTCTGGTAGACCTCTACCCAGATTGTTCAAATTATAGCCCTGGGGTCAAAATCGGCCCCGCCCTGGGGGTCATTGGTTTTCCTTATATGTATACAGTAAAAACTTATAGTAAAAACTTAAAAAAAAATTTATTCTAGCAATTGACAAATGCTAGAGGTTAGATATTAATTTTGCATGCTACATTGTGTAGTACACCTCTAGCAAGATTGTTCAAATTATAGCCCTGGGGTCAAAATTGCCCCCGCCCCGAGGGGTCATTGATTTTCAAAATAAACATATAGTAAAAAATAAAAAAATCTTATTGTCTGAAGGTACAAGGTTTAGAGCTTTAATGTTTGTTAAATGATATCATTCTACCAAAGTTGTTCAAATTTTGCCTCTAGTGTCAAAATTAGTCGCGCCCCAGGGGCCATAGGTTATCCTTATATGTATATAGTAAAAACTTAAAAAATCATTTTCTCTAAATTTACAAAGGCTAGAGTTAAGATATTTTGCATGAAACATTGTTTAGTGAACCTCTATCATGATTGTAAGGCATTGTCTGGTAGACCTTTACCAAGATTGTTCAAATTAAAGCCCTGGGGGGTCAAAATCGGCCCCACCCCCCAAGGGTCATTGATAATCACTATGTACATATAGTAAAAAAATAAAAAATCTTCTTGTCTGAAGGTACAAGGCTTAAAGATTTGATATTTGGTTTATAATATCATCTATGGGTCATCTACTAAAGTTGTTTTAATTATGCCCCTAGTGTTAAAATTGCCCTGCCCCAGAGGCGTTAGTTCTCCCTATATGTATAAAGTAAAAACTTGAAAAACTTCTTCTCTGAATTAACAAAGACTAGAAGTTAAATATATGGCATGAGACTTTGCGAAGTGAACTTTTACCAAGATTGTTCAAATTATAGCCCTGGGGTCAAAATTGGTTCCGCCCGGGGGTCATGGATTTTCATTATGTACATTTAGTAAACAAATAAAAAATGTTTTTGTCTGAAGGTACAAGCCATAGAGCTTTGATGTTTGCTATATAATATTATCTATAGGTCCTCTACCAAAGTTGTTCAAATTTTTCCCCTAGTGACAAAATTGGCCCTGCCCAGGGCAGTGATTCTCATTATGTACACATAGTAAAAACAGAAAATAAAACAAATGTTTTCTGAATGGGAGAAAGCTACAGCTTAGATATTTGACTTGAAATGTTGTTTGGTGGACCTGTATCAAGATTGTTTTGAATTAAACCCTTGTGTCAAAATTTTGCCTTGCCCAAGGGGACAGTGACCTACTTTCTTGTCCTTTGATGTACAGCAATGGAATTTTGACCATGTGCACAGATTTAGTTGTAAAATTGAACTTTGATATCAGGTGGCCTAGATTTTGATGATGTGACTACTTTCTTGTCCTTTGATGTACAGCTATGAAATTTGAACCATGTGCACAGATTAAGATGTAAAGTGAACTTTGATATCAGCTGACCTGGATTTTGACAAAGTGTCTTACTGTATTGTCCTTTGATGTAGTCATGAAATTTAGGCTGTGTGAAATATGACCTTCACCACCAAATTCACTAGACTCAAGTACATTGATATATTCCTACTCTGATCTTTTATTGGATGAACAATAGATTTAACTACTAATCTGATAATATGAATTAGATAGGTCAGGGATCTATGCATTATGAATATCTTCAATTGTATAAAAACAAAAGAAATCTGTTCCTACACTACTATTTAGTGTTGTATTAATGTGGTGGCATAGCATTTTTCTCAAATGCAATCTTGTTTATACATGTATATATATATATTGTCCATGTTTTTTATTCACAAGAATGCTTAACATATATAATAAGTTAAAATTTAATTCATCAATCAAACAATGCATACACCTCAACCAAGCAGCCCAGGACTCGTGTGCTCACAATAAATAAATGATTTTCGTCGTAACACATTATGTCACGTGTAGCACAAAAAAAAAACGCTAGGATTTGAACCCCACCTGTATAGTTGATACAGGAGCACGTTACCACTACACTACAATATCTCGCTGTGAAAAGTATGGGCAATAAGTATTACTATACTATCCATATACTATCCATACACAGATGCCTTACCTTTTCTGAAGTGCACTGATCCATGTTATGTTTACAACGGTTCCGAAATAAATAAACTTCAGCAGTACAATGCTTTATTTTGTATTGGAATTTAATAATTATCAAAATTTCAGTTTTGTGAAAATCGCGGAAGGGTGAAAAGTTCAATTGCAGAATTGCGATAATTTAAAGAATTTTGTTGCGTTCCGTTACCACTTAATGAAATAATATAAATTAAAAACCAAATATTACTTAATTACCAAATAGAACTCACTAAACAAATAAATAACTTAAAAGCATTCAAGAAATCAGATTGATTAAACCACCACAATTCAAGCAAATTCAACAAATGTCTTCAAAATTAATAAGAGCAGCTTTGTATTTGAAATACCGTAATCATACGTTTTAACAAAGAAAGTTAAAGAGTAAATTTGTATACTTATTTAATACTGGCATATTTGGTATCTAAATACTACCTGTTGTTGTTTGTATTGCAATTACATGGGGATGATGAGATAATCTTTTCCGTTAAAAATTTTATGTCCAAAACTGAATTGATAACATAATTAACATTTTTTTTATTGTTTTTTATGCAGGATGTCTAAATTTCTGGGTGACGATGCTACTTTTTCATTGAAACTATCGGAAGTCATGGGTGACATAGGAATACGAGAAGAGATAGTTCTTAAAAGAAGAAGATCATTTATGTTGATGGAAACTCTAGATACAATTACTCGTCGTATTCAAGGCAAGAATATCACCACTTACAACTTAGGAAGTCAATCAGAAGGATCAACAACAGTAGACCTTGACTCCGATATTGATACTCTTTTCGGATATCATGATTTGAACATTATTCTAGACTGGAAAGAAGCAAAGCCCGGAGCAGAAAATGTTCTATTGGTTCAGGATGAAACCACCGCTCCTGGTCATTGTTATTTACAATGTGAAAAACCGAAACTAAAATTCGTATATTCCATGGATGAAAAACACTTTCATTCATTTGGGAAAAATAAATGGCTTTTGAAAAACACATGCTTTGATGACGAGGTTAATTTTAAATACAATAGAAAAAATGGTCCAGCTCATTCTTTTCAAGGAAAGGTTGCTTACAATGAAGAAGATAACGTCATAGGATGGCATTGCAAACATTGGCCAAGAGAAGCTCGACAATGGCTGGTAAATAAAGGCAAAGGTGATTGGCCAACAGAAGATATGAGAAGACAGTGTGAGGCAACTGGATGTGTCATTGTACCAGTGAGCAGCAAAAACAGTCAGTACAAGGACCTAGAATGGAGAATATCAACTTGTCTGGCTGAGAGATGTCTAATGTTCAGCTTGAATATCACACAAATGAGATGTTACGTTCTGATGAAAATGATATTCAGAACAGTCAAGGAACAAACGTTTTCGATGGTTAAACTTTCAAGTTACATGTTAAAAAATGTTCTATTCAATTGTATTCGAAATACAAAATCATGTGAGTGGACAGAAAACAAATTGTTTGATTGTTTGAAAAAATGCCTTTTATATTTAGAAACTTGCATCAGAGAACAAAATTGTTCACAGTTTTTTATTCCTGAAAATAATCTCTTGAGAGGGAAAAGCTGTCAAAGTTATGAAAGTTATCTTACAAATCTCATACAAAGTTTTACAAACAGTGATGGACAATTTCTTCTGGAATTATCGTTTTGATCGACTTAATCCCCAGAAGACTTAAAAATGAAAAAGATGAATTTAGATCTAAAATTTCTGAATCGATTTTCTCCTGGTTATCACAAGCGGAAACGATACCGAATTTATTATCAAAGGATATCCGCTCATAAACCATTTATTGCATTCACTGAATATTATGCCACTTACTTCCTTTTAGTAGTCCATAACTGGATTTAATAATATTAGTTGCCGGGTATGAAGGTGACAGAATTGGAATAAAATGGCCAATTACAGTTCGGGAGTCTTTGATAGTCAAGGTACATTTATCGCGCCATTTAAATGTAGATCCTTTAGATCCCGCTATTGATCAAGCAAATTCGAACTCCGGAAATATAATATTCTCCAATATACATCAATCACCTGTTTCATATCGGTTCGTTTCAGACGTGTCGTCGGGCAAATTGAAGTTTGCTTCTGCTTTGTATTGCTCGGGAGATATGTATAATGCACGGCGTTTACTCGACCACATTGAACAGAAATATGATAACGATACTATAAAAACTGTGTGTTCATGTACTAAGAAGCAAGAAAGAAAGTTTGAAAGGATAGGTTACAGGAAGAAATGCATGACAGGAAATGAAGAAGTGATCAAAGATATATTTTCATTTTGTGTAAAGTTCTTGCCTAGCGAAAAGAATTGTATTCCACGTGAATTAAGGTATGAAATGTTCAGATCTACAGCTAAGGATAATCTGTACATAAATAAACACAATCAGTATTGGATGGATTGGGCGATAGTTGACTCTCTTCCTTATATGTACTTCTTACAGTACAAAACGTATGGGCGGCTGAAAATGGCTGAAAAACAAACAAAAGCTTTTTTAGATTTTGGGATTGCTATTGGTACAGAGTTAGCATTAGGACACAAGGAAACTGCATTGAATTTAATTGGCCAGTGCTTTGAACAAGAAAATAAACCAGACATTGCCTTGGACATGTACATTGAATCTTTGAAGATAAGCAAAAGAAACAATGCTGCAAATGTGCACATTTGTAGACTTATTTCTGCATTAGTTAATAAAAGTTTTCATACTTAACAATCGCGGAAAAGATTAAAGGATCAAATGAATCTTTTCAAATTTAGATTTAACCAAGGTTCAGATATGTTCCACTGTTGCAGTAACTCAACATATTTCAGCTGATTAAATCTTGATTTTAAAAAGTGAACTGGAATTTATAGTGTACATGTAGCAGTTAATGCAGATAAATTTTTGCTTCATGTTTTTTATGACTTCGGAGTTTATTAGACTAAGATATTTTCTACTTTCAATGCGCACAAGGCCTTATATCTGCATTCAGTAGATTATAATCCATTGTATAGATTTTCAAGCAGAATACATCCAAAAACAATCTGTATGAAAACAAAGAATCATCCTAGAAAACATATGGCCCATACGCGTCCTCATTGCTTAATGGTGCAAAATTCTGCATAAAGTGCTACTTAAAATAACAAAATATTTTGTGTCGTATCATTTTATTCTTTTTACGTACAATTTCATTTGCCTATTGTAGAAAATGTTAGAATATCTTAATAAAGAGATAAACGATTTTCTTGTAGTAACATTTATACAACGATTTCAATATTCATTTGGGATAAATTATAAACATTTAAGGCACATATTTGCATTAGAAACGATAATTTTCTTCCTTCTTTAGGGCACACTTGAGTTTAACAACGTTTTACGGTTTACGAGTATGTTTAATGTTTGTAACCTGAAGAAATTAGCTTGTTAATATTAAAATAATTTGTCATGAAAGAAGCAAAATGTAAATAAAGAATTATCTTTACTTCCATACAGATAACTAAATAACTATATATGTTTTACCTGCCTAAATGCAACAGAAGGTAAAAATGGTTTAGATAAATGGCTGAATAGTAATTTTTGTGAAACCTTAACAGGACAGCAAAAAACAAACTTTTTAGATATGAAAATAAAACAATTTTGGGCATAATGGACCTTATATGACAGTTTATGTTAATATAATAAAACTTTTGACAGGTTATATAGCCTAGTTATATGGCATGGATAAACGATTGCATGTATAGTTACATAATTCGAGCTACTAGGCAAGTGATGTTTTATTTCAAATAATTGTTAATGGACGGCTATAATTATAGCCATATTGATATTTCCATAGCTTAACGTCTTCAGTACATTGTAATTGATGTTAATTGTTTAAAATGTTTGAAAGCCGTTTGCATCCAAATGAGCCAAAAAAAAAATCAAGAAAATCAAACTTGGAAAAAAATGTACAAATAATTGATTTTAGTAACAATTTACATGTTATGTGAGATTAATGACTGATTTTGCATCTTGTCTACTTTGCGTACATTGAAAGTGGCGTTTGCAGTTTGAAAATCTCTTCTTTTTGTTCACTTTACAATATATTACTTTTAAATACACTTTCCAAATGTTCATGAAAATGAAGGCATATGCTATAATAAAGTCATATGTCATATCTGCTGAAGAGAACTGAGATGTTATCCAAAAATTTAAATTGTAATTAACATAAAAGTAAAGTTGGTTTATACTAATGCAAATGCGTATTCGGAACACCTTGGCTGTCATTCATAATGACCGCGGACATACAGATTAAAAGTAGTTTTATTTGTACACAAAAAAAACGAGACTGCAGTCTTTGACAATGTATTATGAAGTTTAACGGAAATTATTTTTGACAATCATAATGACTTTAAAATGCCCACTGATAAACAAATCTGAATAAACGTCAACAGGCTTCTACCATCATAATAATAGGTATATAAACAAGATATGTTTGTAAAACATGTATGCCCCCTATCGGCAGCCAATTAGTCATGTGATCAGGTTATTATGCATGACTTCTGACCCAGTGAACAAACAATTAATAAGGGTTATCTAGTATCTACTGGTCATGACTAGTCACAAGGTAATACTTATTGTGACCCCATAGGTTGTGTGCAGCAATTTAAGTTATTACAAATCTTACCAAATAATATATGCATAAATTTTATGAATCATGTAGGCCTCATTAATGACAGCCAAGTTGTGATTTTACATAAGACCTTCAAATGTGTATACCAAAAGCATTCTTAGTTTAATATAAAAATATCAACCAAGGCAACTTGAGTTGTTGAGTTATTGGTCAGAAACCGTCATGAAGTACAAGGTCAATATGACATTGACCCCTTGACCCCAAAATCAATAGGGGTCATCCACTGGTCATGACCAATCATCATACCAAGTTTGAAGTTTCTAGGCGAAAGCATTCTTTAGTTATTGATCGGAAACCGTTTTTACCAACAAGGTCAATGTGACCTTGACCTTTGACCCCTTGACCCCAAAATCAATAGGGATCATTTGCTGGTCATGACAAATTACCATACCAAGTTTGAAGTTCCTAGGCGTAAGCGTTCTTTAGTTATTGATCGGAAACCGTTTTTACCTACAAGGTCAATGTGACCTTGACCCCTTGACCCCAAAATCAATAGGGGTCATCTGCTGGTCATGACCAATCACCATACCAAGTTTGAAGTTCCTAGACCTAAGCGTTCTTTAGTTATTGATCGGAAACCTTTTTTACCTACAAGGTCAATGTGACCTTGACCTTTGACCAATTGACCCAAAAAACAATACGGGTCATCTGCTGGTCATGACCAATCACCATACCAAGTTTGAAGTTCCTAGGCCTAAGCGTTCTTTAGTTATTGATCGGAAGCCTTTTTTACCAACAAGGTCAATGTGACCTTGACCTTTGATCCCTTGATCCCAAAAGCAAAAGGAATCATCTTCTGGTCATGACCAATCACCATACCAAGTTTGAAGTTCATAGACCTAAGCGTTCTTTAGTTGTTGATTGGAAACCGTTTTTACCAACAAGGTCAATGTGACCTTGAACTTTAACCCCTTGACTCCAAAATCAATAGGGGTCATTTGCTGGTCATGACCAATCACCATATCAAGTTTGAAGTTCCTAGGCCTAAGCGTTCTTTAGTTATTGATCGGAAACCGTTTTTACCTACAAGGTCAATGTGACCATGACCTTTGACCCCTTGACCCCAAAATCAATAGGGGTCATCTGCTGGTCATGACCAATCACCATACCAAGTTTGGAGTTCCTAGGCGTAAGCATTCTTTAGTTATTGATCGGAAACCGTTTTTACCAACAAGGTCAATGTGACCTTGACCTTTGACCCCTTGACCCCAAAATCAATAGCGGTAATCTACTGGTAATGACCAATCACCATACCAAGTTGAAGTTCTTAGGCCTAAGCGTTCTTTAGTTATCACTCGGAAACCATTTGGTCTACGGACCGACGGACCGACAGACCGACGGACCGACAAATGCAAAGCAATATACCCCCCTCTGTTTGAAGTGGGGGCATAATAATGTATTTTGTATGGAAATCAAAATACTACTCTGTTTACTTTTATGTCTGTAATTTCAACGCGATATATTGGCAAAAAAACTTACGTAACAACTCCCAGCATTAAGAAAAATTATGCTCCCCGAAAGGAGAGCATTAACTTGTCCGTCTGTCCATATGAAACTTTTAGGTGTAAGTAGAACCATAACTCTGTCTTGCCTAATTTTGGAGTTATTGTCCTTTGTTCGTTTTTACACTTTGAACTTTGTCCGGGACATAACTCTAAAATTATAAGAGATATCAACATGAAAGTTTGTAAGTAGATAGATCTTATTTGGTTAAAGTGCAATGCAAAAAGAACAATAACATTGTTTTGTCCCGTTTTTAAATAATTTCGCCTTTTAGAGAAATCTTGTCCGGGACAAAACTATATGAGATATCAATATGAATTTTTGTAGGTAAATATATCTCAATGGGTAGATGTGCAGTACACAAGAGCCGTAATTCTGTCTTGCCTAATTTTGGAATTATTGCACTTTGAACTTTGTCCATGGACATAACTCTAAAACTACAAAAGGTGTCATTTTCTGTGTCCAAAACTTATCGGGGAGCATCACCTGGATCAAAACGG